AGGAACCCCTATAGATCCCTTGAAGGAGCCCTTGATGCGGCAGAGACTCCGGACCACTTCCTGAACCCTAAAGCCCTAAATCCTAAACCCTGAACCCTAAAGCCCTAAACCCTAAATCATAAACCTAAATCCTAAACCCTAAACCTCCGAGCCAACAGCAGAGCCGGAATCCGCACCAAGGTCACCAGGCTATCGATTCTAGATTCCCCCAAAAGCATAGCTTGTGCTTTGAATAGGATTTACGAATCCTGAAAGACGACATGAACCCTAAAAGGGTTTAGGGTTCATCTACCATATATTCGGGATTCATACTATAAGGGTACAGGGCCCGAAACTTCTAAACCCTCAGCCCTAAAGGACTTGACCCAGAACCATGATCCGCGAGGCTCAACTTATCCAAATCGTGCGTTTAGGGTTTAGGGTCTAGGGTTGTAGGGTTTAGGGTTTAGGGTTGTGGCGTACTCAGGCCTTCAAGGGTGAGTATAATATAAGGGTCTTAATAGCTAAACAAATTATAGGGCTTTGGGGTATATTATACTATACTTAATAAGGAACCCCCCAATATAGTATTGATAATTGTTTGGGTTCCTACATTAGTGGTGTACTCAAGCCTTCAAGGGTGAGCATAGACCAGATTTGTAGGTGGAGCCTTCGGGGATGTAGATAACCCCGAGGGTCCAAAGGACCTCATAATCATGTACTGGAGTAATGGATAGTAGTTTTGTAGGTTAGTATTCAGAAGAGTATATGATTATTAGGTACTTGGACCTTAGCCGGCAACGACAGCAAAGGCGGGACCAGATTGTCGCAAATGGCGACCATTGAAAAGCGTGTGGTGTCGACATGGGAGTTTCCGAAAATTAGGGTACCGTGTTTTGGGGTCCTTTTCACAATCATCCTACTGTGTAGGGTACTGCATTAGGGTCTCCTATGGACTCCTATGTTCGGAAACCCCTAAACCCTAAACCCTAAACCCTAAACCCTAAACCCGTCTTCAAAAAGGCTTGAGAGTGTTCGTGAACCTGCCGCCATCCTCTGATAGGGCCTGTGAATGCAAAGGCGAACCGTGCTCGTGCTTCGGGTTTAGGGTTTGGGGTTTAGAGTTTAGGGTAGTGAACCCTAAATAGTAAGGGTACCCTTTGTCCCGTTATTCAGCGTTCATAAGGGGACCATACCATGAAAAGGGCAAAAGGGTACTACCCAAAAACCTAGAACAGCCCAATTTAGAGAACTACTCACCTGAGTTTCCAACCACCATGCCGTCTTTAAACCCTGGGCTGCGACTCTTTTGATAACGCTAAACCCAAGCCCTAAACCCTAGCCCTAAACCCCTAAACCCTAAACCCAAACCCTATACCGGCTGCGCATCTTTTGACGTTTTGAGAGACAGGAGCTGCATGCAGTCGTCGCTGAGCAGCTCCTCGGCATCAGCGTAGCCAGATACGAGTCTGCTAGCAGAAACTATTGGATGACAGGGCCCTTTTTGTGCCCTTAATTAGGGGTAGATAGCTCCAAATATTCGGTATGTAGAGTCTAATAGAGGGTCGATGGATGGTCTTGGTGCTTAGCAATCTTATTCGTTTGGGTTCCTTGATATATCTTTAATGGTATAATATACCTCCCAACACCCCATTCTGCTTGTTACGGCCCTATCTTTTACCCTATAAAACCCCAGCCCGAAACCCTCAAATCATAAGCTTTAGCCCAAAATTCCGCACCTTGCTGCAAACGCAAGAACCTCAGCCGCCATACCCGCGACCAGGAACCTTACCCAGACCCCCGGGGTGGATCTAGGAAGTAGAACCTCTAATTTGGGTATACTACTAAAGAGTACTTTATAGGATCCCTTGAAGGACCTAGTCTGGGATCCTCCTGAGAGGATCATGGGCCTTAGTAACAAAGGTCATAAATACGGTAAGCATAGTTGTATTTAAGTATACTCCCATTAAGGTACTTATAACCTTACTTACTAAGTCCCAAGATTCTCCAAGTA